CCCCCGCCCCCTCGAGAGCCGGCCCTCGTTTGTTCTCCCGGCCTTGCTCATTTTTTAGGGTGTGTGTGCGGCGCCCGAAGGCTGCCGAACAGACAAACCTTTTCTGGTGTTTCTGCTGCTGACGTGTTCGCCGCGCAACATCCCCGCTCCCCTCCCCTCCCCACCCCGCTCCGCCCCCCCGCCCGTTCCCCTCCCTCCACACGAGCTCGCTCCCCTCGGTATGCTTTCCTCCCGACTACCGACCCCCCTCCCTCCCATTCTCTCTCTCCCTCTCTTTCCTCCTCTTCTTCCTCTTCTTCCTCCTCCTCCCGCCCTTGCGCCCTTGTGTCCCTTTCCCCTCTTGCATCCCTGCCTTCATTTGTCCTTGCCCAGCACGCCCTCACAGCACCACCACTCCTCGCGAGTGTGCGTGTGTGAATGTGTGTGCATGGCCGGCTCCGAGAAAAGATGGTCCCGCTTGGTCGCGCGCACTGGCCCGGGTCCCCCCCCCCCCGATGAAGCGGAGCGCCTGCGCACCTGCGCGACGTCCTGTTGCCTGCTCGTGCAAATGCGTCCTCCTCGCTCCGCCAGTGTCTCTTTGCGGCGTGGGTGCTGGTCCGCTGCTGCGCGTCCTGCGACGATGCTCTTCTCCTCTTCCTCCCCCGAGTGGCATTTGCAAAACGCCCCCTTCTCCCTTCGCTGGCTGCGCCGAGAGACCTCTCCCGCTTTTGTGGAAGTGGTCTCCACTGCCTTGCCAACGCCTCTGGTCCCCCTTTAATCCCTCCTCGTCCTTGCTCATGCCGCCCACTGGCCTCTCCCCCCTCTCCTTCCCTTCTCTTTACCTCCCCCACTAACTTCTTCTTTTCCCCCTTTCCCCTTTTCTCCCCAATTCCCAGTTCTCTTCCACCATGCAGACCATCAAGTGTGTCGTCGTCGGTGATGGTGCTGTTGGCAAGGTGTGTCTTCCTCTCGTCTTCCGCCTCTCTTTCTCCCCCTCTCTCTGGCCCTCCTCGCGATGCCCTTGCTCATGGCCGGTATTTCAAATGAGGTTTCTCCTTCTCCGGTTTAACTAACACCAACCTTCGATTCCCCTCCCCCCCCCCTACAGACCTGCCTGCTCATCTCCTACACCACCAACAAGTTCCCCCAGGAATACGTCCCGACCGTGCGTGCTCTCCCCTCCTCCCCAGTCCCCTCCCTTTCGCGCACGCGTGTGCCCCCCCCCCTCCCCCACATATGCCATGTCCAAGCCGATGCATGTCTGGTCCTCCTCACACTCGCTCCTATTCGACCTCTCCCCTCCTCCCCCCCATCCCCCCCCCCTCTCTCTCTCTCTCCCCCCCCCGCGGCCACCCACCCCAGGTCTTCGACAACTACGCCGTTACTGTCATGATCGGGGAGGATCCGTACACTCTCGGTCTTTTCGATACCGCCGGTTCGTGCCTCTTTCCTTTGTGTCTTTCCTCGCTCCCCCTCCTCCCTCTCCCATCCAGGACGCGCCTTCCCTTGCTCACCCCTCGCCACAGGTCAGGAGGACTACGATCGCCTGCGCCCGCTCTCCTACCCCCAGACCGACGTCTTCCTGGTCTGCTTCTCCGTGGTCAACCCCGCCTCCTTCGAGAACGTTCGCGAGAAGTGGTTCCCCGAGGTCAGCCACCACTGCCCTCAGGTGCCGTGCATCATCGTCGGCACCCAGATGGATCTCCGTGACGCGCCGGAGGCCATCGAGCGCCTCGCCAAGAGCAAGCAGAAGCCCATCACCCCGGACATGGGTGATCGCCTGGCCAAGGAGCTCAACGCCGTCAAGTATGTCGAGTGCTCTGCCCTCAAGCAGAAGGGCCTGAAGGATGTCTTCGATGAGGCCATCCTTGCCGCCCTGAACCCTCCCCAGGGCAAGCGCACCAAGCGTTGCCTCATGTTCTAAATCCGACGACAGAGAGGGAGAGAGAGCAAGCGCGTGTGTGCCCGTGGCAACGGCGGGGATGAGGCGCCCTCCCCCACTCGCTCTCTCCTCCGATTGACACCGGACACGCGCGCCCGCGCCCTGCCCCTCTGAACTTCCCGACATGCCTGTGTGTGGATGTGTGCTTCTCCCCTTTCCTCGCCCCCCCCCCCTTCCCCCTCACGCGCGCACTTCCTCTGTCCAATGTGCATGTGTTGCTTGTACTCGCGTGCTGCCTGCTCCCTCGGTTTCTTGGCCGCTGCGGGGGGCGTGCCTCCGAGAGTCGTCCGCACGCGCATGAGAGGACGAGGGAGAGAATGACCAGGGGGGAGGGGCTTGCATGTTAATGGTGCATCAGTGGTGGCCGCTCGTGCGCGCTCACATGCGCACACATGCGCGCGCCCCTCCCCCCTCCCCCATCACATTAGTTCTCTCTCCCTGTGCAGCTACTCCACGTTTCATACTGGCACGGAAGCGTCTCTGGTAAGTAGACATGAGACCCTGGCTTTATTTCCACAAAAATATCCCTTCCCCCGACACCCACATGCCCACATAGCGCCCCCCTCCCCCCCCCCCCCTCTGTGTGTGTGCTTGTGTGTATGTGTGCGTGCGCCGCCCCTCCCCAGGTACGGCCGCCCTTGTTCTTCTCGTTTCCCCTCCCCCCCCCCTTCCTCCGCAGAATTGCCTCACGCCGCATTCCTGCTTGCTTTGAAGACTGATGTCCCTTTGTTCCCTGTGCACCCCCCCCCCCCCATTAGCCTGCTCCTCTTTCCTCTCGCCCGTATTGGGGGGGAAGAATGGGCGCAGGCGTGCGGTTCCCTTCCCCCTCCCCCCTCTCCCCCCTTCACCCCCTTCCTCCCGGGATAGTGAGAGGCTTGTTTCTGCTCTCCCTCCCAGTTTCTTCTCCCCTCTCAGATTCCCCTCTCTTCCCCGTCCCCCCCCCCTTCCTCTTCCCTTCCCCCTCCTCCCCCCTCGAACACAATATCAACACCTAATCACATCCCATACTCTGATCCACACACGCACACACACGCGCGCGCGCGCACACGCACACGTGTACACATATCCATGTGTTCCCTCGGCCTCTCCCCTCTTTCCCCCCTCCTTTCCCTCCTTCCCTCACACACATCGACACACTTGTTGCTCCCCCTCCCCCTTCCTCCTTTTCAGTGTTACAATAATACATTCTTTTCTACAAAGAAAAACAGGCGTGTCATATGGCGCCGGCGGGGGGGGGGGGGGGGCCGCACTTCGGGAAAACAGATACGAGGGGGACCTGGGTCGAGAAGTATGCCGTGAAGAACTCGCCCCCTAGAGCGGGCGCAGGGACGGCGACCAGGGCGCAACAAGGCTGTGCTACTTTCGGAAAAATCGTGGGCCGGGGCATGGAGAGGAGGAGGCGCTTGAGTTTCTCCAAAAAGCGCCAGAAGAGTGGAGGCTGGTGTGCTTTTTTCTATTCTGGTGTGTATTTCGTATTGATGGTGTCGATCGAAAGCCGAAAGAGCTTGGGGCTCGGGGGGGGGGGGGGGGGAAACAGTGGAAAATGCAAGAGTGTCGGTGGGATGATGCATCGTTGCCCCAAAGCCTATCGGCGCCATGCCCCACCAGACTTTTGAGACTCACGGTGGGTGTCACGGATGAAGGCCGCCATATCGCCCATAGCGCCAGTGTTTCGCCGGGCGATGTCTTCGCGCTGGGAAATCTCACGTTCACGTTGCCTGCGTGGACCAAGAAAAAGGGTGTCAGAGTGGCCGCCAATGTGGCTGGATACAAATCAAGTCCAGGCAGGGAAGGGCGGGGATGGTGGGGGGTCTGTGCATGTGTGGCTATAAAGAAAGAGAGAGAGAGGGGGGGGGAAGGAGACGTACTCAGTAGCCTTCAAGTGCGCCTCTCGGGCGGCTTGGAGCTTGGCGGCCGCATCAAGCATGGAGGAAACACCAGAGGCCGGCCCACGGTTGTCAGTGACGGAATGACGCTCCTCGCGGACATTGCGTGCCTCATGGTGACGGGGGGCTGGGAGTGGCGGGCCACGATCACGGCTGAGATGGCGGGCTGGACTGCGTTCACGATAGGACTGCCGAGGGGGGCTCCAGTCACGACGAGCCTGCCGGGGCGGACTGCGGTCACCATCGAACCGACGGGGTGGCGAGCGACTGCGGTCACCCCGGAACTGGCGAGG